TCGCGATTGCGGCTTTTTTTTTTTTTTCTTGCCGCTTGGGGCGGCAAAAACCCTGGAGCCGGCCCTGTCTAAGATGATAACTGATTATTTAATAATGAGTTTCTGTTAAATGCCAAAGAAACCAAATTAGTGCAATTGTGGTTAGTAGAGCCAAGGAGTTGAATGATCATAAATGTACACTGAGTTTCTTGGTTGATACTGCATTAGAGAGTGCAACAATATATCAGTACCTTAGATAGGTGCTGACATAATCAATTCAGTTTTTCTATTTTAGATCAATTAGAAAACAAAACCTTTATAGCATATTCGTGTCTTTAAGAAATGGATGCATATTGTATATAGCGCCTTCCCATTGCTCTTATGGAATTAAATGAGTGAGGAAGAGCTTTGTAGTTCATAACTTTTGATGTATGTGTCAGCCTGCAATAGAAATATAACTTTGTTATATGCATTTTCAGTGAATACAGAAGCTGATCATTTTATTAATGCACATTTCTCTGTCCCCTATCCTCTTCCAGGGGACAGCAGTATTTTCTGCTGCTATCCAATTTCTCCTAAGCAAATTGAACTACACCAAAGGGCAAGTTATTTGATGATGGATTCTGGTCTATGTAGGCACCTCTGCCCCCTATTCATTCCTGCGCTTGTTATTACTGGATTTCAGAAGTTGGAGTCTTTAGACGATGTTTTTAAAGAAGACCGCTTTAGGTCACTTGTCATTTTCTTAGTCCAAACTGCATAGGCCAGAACTAATCAATATAATGTACCTGATAGCTAGTTAATTTTAAACACAGGTATAAACATATTACTTTTTAAAGTATGGAGACTTTGCCCTAACTTTGGTAAAGCATTCATCGTTCAGCTTTGGGCACTGCAGTGGCTATGTCAGAAAGGTCCTCGTAATCAACAGGTCTAGGACTTGTGAAGGACACGGAGTTCTCTTTGAATAGATCAGCATTCTTCTTGTTGTTGTTAGAATTTCCTATTATATTCTTGATAGCCACTTAAAATGTTATGTAATGTAAAAATTACTTTGTTGCCATAACCTTTAAATGTCTAGATCAGAACTGACTTGAAAGCAAGACTACATTTTCTCATGATGGAACACTTCTTGCTCAACGTGGATAATTAGTAAACAAAAAAACCAACAACCTGTATATCCAAACACTGAACTAAAACATGACCTTGATCAATTTATTGTAGGGGCAAAGAATATTAGCTTCCTATTTGCTTTCCAGAAGAAGAACTGAAGCAGCCTCTTTTCTTTTTTTCTCTTTCCTTTTATTTAGTTTGAAGAGGGCATTCTGGATGCTTGCCTACACTTGATGGATAGAGCAAAACTAGATCTCTCTGGGCGGGGGAACCCAGTCAAAATCAGTCGCATTGGATCTGCAGTGGTATGCAATAAAGTCCCGGAATGTATTGGAAATGACATGTTTTTATTTATTTAATTTTTTATTTCTATTTTGAAAGCTGATCATGAATGGCCACTTTGAATAGGTGGAATCTCACTTTCCTATCCCAGTGCACTGCCCTAAGGTCAGATCTGACTTATTCTTATTGCTCATGCTGAGTTCTAGAGACCGCCATGATTGATGTCTCACTCCAGGAGGGATGATATCTTAGTGTCCGCCCATCATCTGTGTCTGACACTAGGACCCACTGATAGAAGTGCCACTTTCAGACATCGCACTTCTTGATGTGATGGCACTCCACCTGGCACCATGCCAGTATTTAACAGGTCAAATAATGGATAACGTCCATCTTCCCGGAGCAGGGAAGACAACATGGTGATTAGACTGGGAGTCAGGAGGCCTGGATGTTCATTCCGACTGTGACCTGGCTTTGGTGTTTGGCCTCTGGAAAGCCACTTCACTGCACCTCAGTTTCTTCATTTGTAAAATGGGGATGATGATAATTATTTGTTGTAATTAGATTGATCGGGGCTGCCAGCAGTGCGAGGCACCCCAAAGGGTGAGAATCGTGACCCTGGACCTCCTTCACCATCCAAGTCTGTAGGTGAAGGAGCACACACGCCACCCTGATACAGGATGCAAAAGCCCCTGTTAAGGCATGTGTGCCCAATACTTCTCAGGATTCCTGCTTGTGCAGGTCGACTCTGCAGTGTCCCTCTTTCCCCTTTCCACCCCCAGCCATTCTCCCTAGGGCTGCATCTTAACAGCCACAGTGTAGCCTTTTAGTGACTGGTTATAGCACAGATTAAAGATCAAAATACTGCACTGTCCTTGAAATGTGCCTCGTACAGTATGTCTCCCATGACAGCTAACTGGATGCAACCCCTCACTCTTTGGTTTTGTCACTGAATACTTACCTTGTTCCATCCCAGGGTTCACAGGATTTTCTAATTAGAAAACAGTAGTTAATCCAACCAAAAGCTTTTAAATGAAAATTGTGATTTATTTGGCAAGAGTGTAGTTGCTGTGCATTAACATAATTAAATGGTACATGGCGAATGAGGTTTTTCACACAGCCTCAACTGATTTGGTTCAGATTGCTACTAACTAGGAAATGTATTGCTCATTAATGACTATCAATTCAGTCATTAGTCAGCAAAATTCCACATATAGTCTTACCAGGAGAAAACTTACACAGCAAAATCTTTCTTGTTTTCGTGTGTGCTAGATGCATGCTATTAGATTCAGCTCTAAAAATAACAGTGGACCTGTTTCTTCTCTCACACCAATATAAATCAGGAATAATTGTATTGCAGTCACTGGATTTACACTGGGGTATAAGTGAGAGGAGAATCAACCCCAATATTTCTCAGTAGGATTCAGAGTCACTTATTAGTCTATATTCACTTTCCAATGAGCATGCTTATTAATAGTAAACCGTTGAAAACTGCCAATATATATATGTTGCATTTTGACTTGACTTCACCGTTTCCGCCCCCTTTCTGGCAAAGAATCATGTGTCCTCGACTTGATTACTCCTCCTCCCCCCCGTTGGAGGATGGTACATCCCCAGGTCCCACTTCAAGTGTGACACTTCCATAGAGTGTTAAACTACCAGTAGAAAATACACTTCATATAAATGAATAGTCCATGACAAACAAATGACAGCTTAGGATGTCTGTGTCAAAACAGTTCCACCCAGTTAATCATTTGGTGACATGATTGAAACTTTCAGTCATTTGGTCCAGTGACCATTGGACTTGAGCATTTGTCCACCTGTGGGATTTTTCAAAAGAGCCTTAACAGATTAGGTACCTAACTCCCATTGATTTCAGTGACACCTAAATGTGAAAAACTGACCCCAAGTGACTAAACGATCTAGGTATTTGGCCAAATGGTTAAAGTAGAGAACTAGAAACCAGGAATTCTGAGTCTTAATCCCAGCTCAGACACTGATTTAGTGTGTTATCTTAGGCAAATCAATTAGCCTTTCTATTCTTCTGAAGATGATAAAGAATGTTGAAATTCTTGGATGATAAAAAAAGCACCTCATCTGAAGAAACAACATAATGTGGGAGAGGGTTACAACATTTCTAACACACAGTATAACCTCCCTCCCTAAAAAAGTATTTGTACAAAGGTTGTATAGAAGAGACCGTATAACTTTTTTTTTACATTTTTATATCATTTTATATCTTTTAAATTATTTTATCCATTGCCCTATGCCACAATGTCCTCATAGCAGGCCACTACCAAAATCCAGTGATCTCCTTCTTTGTAAACAATGGGAAATGTTTTGGAAACAACTTACATAATATTCCTAAATTATAAGGGAAAGAGGCCATTTTGATCATCTAGTCTGACTTGCATAACACTGGCTGGAGGACTTCCCTGAATTAATTCCTGTTTGAACTAGAGCATATCTTTTAGAAAACTGTCCAATCTTGATGTAAAAATTTTCAGTGATGGAGAATCCACCATAGCCCTTGGTAAGTTGTTCCAATGGTTAATTATCCTCACTGCTAAAAAATGTGAAACTTATTTCCGGTCTGAATTTGTCTAGCTGCAACTTCCAACCATTGGAGCTAGTTCTACCCTTCTCAAATTTTAGACATACTTAACATATAGGGAGATTTACAAAATTTCTTTTTCGTTAGATCAATGCTAAAGATGATGAGGGCGTGGTTGCTGGCAGTTGGGACAATATTTATGCTTATGGAGTAGCACCGTCAGCCTGGACTGGAAGTGTAGACATCCTATTGGAATATCATAGCTCTGGTATGCCAGTGCGGTACGGTCAGTGCTGGGTCTTTGCTGGAGTCTTCAATACATGTAAGTATTTTAAAAAGTGGTATTTTTATCTAGTGCAGATAGTTTTTAGATCTAAGATATTTGTTGGCTCTACAATGTTCAAGAATAAACAGTAGGAGTTATTGCCATTAGATGGCTAAAACAGCCGTGCTTTGAACATGCTTGTATGCTTTCAACTTTTTTTTCTCTTCTACAAGAATCTTCTAGCTATCTAAAGTCTGTCTTTTGCATCTAAACTGGCTGGTAAAATATGTGTTTAGTGATGTGTGGGCAATGGGGGCATGATGGGGATTGGGACAGGTGGAGACTTTGTAAATGGAATAGTTATTGTTTTCCTCTGGAAATCTGAGATGGAAATCATGAATGAGTGATCTCGATCTAAACCCACTGTGGGCAACTGACCACATCACAAAGCCATTGCACTGTATGGCACAACTGACAGTCTCTCTTTGCTCAAGAAAACCTAATGACTGGAATAGCAAGGATTCTTCTTGGCAAGACCGAGGTGCATTGGCACAGCACCTGTAATATTCTGTGTAACTGACACTATCAACACTTCTTTGGAGTTTGTGAGCCAGCCCTGTGGAGGAAAATACTGGCTTGGTGTATCATGTATCTGGTGCACCAAGAGGTTAAACTAAACGATCAGATCAGAGTTTCAGTGTTGCATCAAAAGCAGAAAGGTTCTAGGTTTCATAGCCCAGTGAGGGAAAGCAATGCTTATCTGGTCATAACTATCACTGCCAAGTGAAACTGTAGGAGCATCATACCAAATAATCACTCAATACCGGTGTCAAACTATTAGCCTCTAGAGGCCAAGAAAGACATATGCACTGTGAGACATGTGAATACTCTGCCCATGCCAAGATCTTGGAGTACAGAGTGTTTTCCGTAACTGGGTCCAGGAAGATTATGCCAGTGTACAGAGATCCTCTATAGGTTCAAAGCCAGCATAGCCGCTCTTATATCAATGTCCCTGCTACCAGTGTAAGGGGCTTGGCTGGAGTATAAAGGATATGGCTTGGGTTTCTCTAAACCCCACTGATCCCCAACTTCTCTGTTGTCCCACTAAGATGACTGCCAGCCTGGTGACAGAGTGGCACACAGTCAACCCAGGATCAGTGGATGACCATAAAGGACATCTTTGCAACGCCTCATTCTGAGCTGCAGCCATAAACTCATTGGCCAAAACCAAGGGTCTGGGACTCCATGTTTAAGTTGTTAAGAAGAAATTAGAAAAACAAAATAACCCAATGAAACCCTCTCACTTTCTCTTTGATGTTGTATCCATGACCTATACAGGCACATCAGTTTTGTTTGCAGTATATTCTTATATCAGTGATGTTACCCATATTGGCAGACCTGGAAGTTGCATGATTAATGCACTGAGCAATTAGGTTAAGATTATGCCTCATTATCTGTTTCTGTTTCATACCTTTCTGGATCTAATAAGACAAGGGAAAACATAGGCCAGACCCTTACCTGGTGTAAATCACTGTAGTTCTATTGACTTTGGGAGCGATGCCAATTTACATCAACTAGGACTTGGCCCTCCCCAAAGTGTCTGCTGCTGAACAATCTAGGAATATGTGGATTTCTGGAGTGGGATGATTCCTGGTTGGGAGCAAAAGTAAAGCCAATATACTATGATCATAGTCAATTCCCCATGGAATTTCAATTACCAGCTGTTTGCAAGTATTGATAAACCTAAACAAAGATAGTAAAAGCAACAGCAAATCTTCAGAGACCATGCCACTCTGAGAGCTCCAGCTAATTGCTGGAGGAAGACCTGAAAGGTTTTTGAAAATATTTGTTCCCTTTGATTTTTGCAGTAGAAATTCAGGCCTTGCCTAGCATGGAAGACTGTATGGCCTTGTCAACAGTCAGCTGTTTCTTAAAATTTCTCACCATATCACTGCCCCGGTACAGCTCCAAAAGTAGTAGCCAAGAATGTGTGGTATAGCCCTGCTCATAGCATGAATAGCCAGTGGAGAATTAAGCCTCTTAAATTGTGAGGGCTGCCAATCTTCCACCTTTGACAAGTACTAAATTCGTTATTCCTGCCCACTGACTCCCCAAACAAAAGTAAAAATTATGTTTTATAAAGTGCATCAGCCAGAGAGCTAAACCTGAAACCATGAAGTTCTATTGTTGTGGAATGGTTACAACAAGAGAGAGACATCCAAAACCTTCATTTCTGAATATTGAGAAGTGTGTGTGTATCTTTAGTTTAGATATACATCTCCATCTGAAACACACACACTGTAACAAATACCATACTTATATCAGGACTAGCAGGGCTCCAGTACAACCTTATCTTCTACATGCTACAAGTGTTGTGATCATGCCACTGCTGGTAGGTACCACCTGCCATTTGAAATTTCTATAGCCATTGGATGATACATTTTCCCCAGGACACCCTGCCACCTCAATCCTGCAGTACACTTAAAACCTCCTCCATTGCAGACATCCCATTATACACAGCGGGCCAAATTTTGCCCTGTGAAGCACAGGTGCACAGCTCCCATTGGGACTGATTCATTTCTGCATTCCTCTAGCTATACCCTATTTATAAAACTGAAGTAATGCAATGTAGATTCAGGGCCACCTGTATTGCACATCTTAGGACAGAATCTGGCAAGGTAGGCCTACTAACGTAACAAGTTCAGTTAGAGATCTCGCATGCATTGTTGTTACGAAGCCAGATGACAAACAAAAAAAAATGGATGACTAGCAAGTTAAAACGCTAGGCAGTGGCATATCTAGCATATGGCTGCTTACATGAAAAGGAGCCACTGCAAATGAGCGTCAAGAAGATGACAGCGAATATGGGGAAGGCTAAGGCTAATTCAGCTAAAATGATTGCTTTGAGTTTTGAGTTATTTGAAGCTTGTAACATTTTATGACTGCAATTGCAACCAATCCAGTTTTTCAAGGTTACCATACTGATTCAAGACAATCATCTGTTTTAAAATGCTAAAACATTCTGGAGAAAAGTAAGCTAAGTCTTTGATCTTAAAATAGTCAGATTAATTATTTTCAATGAGCCCCGATGGCGCTCATGTGCTGGAAGTCTGGGAGGGCATTTGAAAGAAATTTAATCCATAGGTACTGTGACGGACTCAGGCCAGAAGGATATAAGAGGGTAGTGGAAGGCAGGTATATCAGCCTCAGAATGAGCAGAGCCCTGTTCCCTGGATAGCCAAACAAGGGCTACTCCAGGCCAATCAAGACACCTGACGCCAATTTAGCCAGTTAAGGTCGTTAGGCTAATGCCGGCACCTGACCTCAATTAACTGACAGAGGGTCAGGTAAGACTGTTAGGCTAATGGAGACAGCTGGAATCAATTAAGGTCCCACTTATACTGCTTTAAAAGCTCTCCTTTCCAGTTCTCTCGAAAGGAGCCCAGGTGAAAGGAGCTGGAGGAGAGGAAGCATTACTGTACCCTGAGGTAAGGGTGAAGCTTGGAAAAGGGGAGTATGGGGAAGTGGCCCAGGGAATCAAATCAGCGTCAGTGGAGGAGGGAAGCCGCTAACAGCTGCTATCATTAGGGTCCCTGGGTCGGAACCCGGAGTAGAGGGCTGGCCTGGGTTCCCCCCTTTCTCCCCCCCCCCCCCATGATCCACAGAGATCCCTTTGAAAGGGGAAACAGACTTGGATCCAGGCAGGAGAACAAACTGTGCCTAAGGAGCTCTAAGGAGCAACAGAGATTGTGGGTATTCCACTTTCCCACCTCTCATACAGGCCTGTGATGAAAGTAGCTCAGTCTGTAACCTTTGCTGCCTTACTGGGAAAGGGAGGTCATATTGAGGGCCTCAGTGAGCTTCTGAGGCCACTATATCCGCCAGGAAGCGCGGGACCCACCAATACAGGCTTGGAGCTTTGCCACAGTACGTATGAGATGAATGTATGAGATGCATCCAGGTAATTTGTCATCAAACAATTTAAAACAAATGTGTGCTGTTGCTCTTTATTGACATTAGCCAAAATAGTACCATATAGGGCTGTCCAAACTTTTCCATTGACATTGTTTTGTGACAGTAAATTGGGTTTTCAAGCCCCTCTCCTCCCCAAAACAGTATCTGCCTTCTGTGGAAACATTTGGCTTTTCATCCAAAAAATGAAGAACACAAATGCTTCTCTGAAAACTGAAATATGCAATTCAGAAATGCTGCTGCAGTGTCTCATGGAAGTTGTTGTTCAGATGCCTCAGACTCCACCTCTCCCCCTACCCTGCATTCTTCTTTGAGAGCTGTGCGTCCCTGGCTGGACTCCCATCTCCTATGCTATACCATGGCCATGGGACTCCCATGATGCACCGGACCATCTGAACAAGAGCCTTAACCTGATTACATCTTAGCTTTCTCATCCATAAAAATAGAGATAACAATTACTAACTTCACTGAAATGTTCTGGGATTTAATGCATTTTTTTAATTCATGTGAGATCATCTAATAAAAGGTGATTACAGAAGTTCAAAGTATTATTACTGAGCAATTGGTTCAAATTATGTAATGTGCTTTATTTAAACTCTGACTCTGACACTTGTAAATTCAGTTTTCTATCTCAATATCAATTGATTTCTGTTATATTCTTTGGATTCTCTAGGTTCCTCCAAATGTAACCTTGGAAAATTCCAACTAAACTTAAAACCAAGAAACCTTCTAACTGTTGCCCTTCTAATAAAGTCTTCCATTCATTTCAAAGTTTATCACTGCTGGAAGGTCCAGTGTTTACCCTCTATTGTGTCTTGTTTTTTGGGGAAGCTAACTCTTACTTTTTCCTCATGTGCTTCGTGTGTGTGTGTGTGTGTGTGTGTTTTACAAATGGAAAGTATTGAAAGAATAAAGGCCCCGATGATCTTTCCATCCTCCCACCCTGCTTCTACCTGCAGTATACCTATAATCTCCTCCAATCTACCTACCCATCCTATCTACTCATCCTCTTGCCCATGTATCATCATATTGCCTCATATCATCCTTTGCATTTCCTTTCTCTTTCCACTCCAGTTTTGAGGTGCATAGGGATACCTGGAAGAATTGTTACCAATTATTCCTCTGCCCATGATAATGATGCCAATTTACAACTGGATGTCTTTGTGGATGAAGAAGGGAAAGTGGACTCCAAACTCACAAAAGACTCAATCTGGTGAGCTGTCCCAGCAAACCTATCATCTCTGTGCACATAAAACATGACAGATGATCGAGGTTTAGTTTGTCTCTGCTGTATACCTTAAAGAATACTGCTAGATTATAGAAAGACATAGTTGCAAACTGTGGAATAAAAGCTAGTTAATAAATAGGCCAATGAATGTAAATTGCTCAACATGGAAAAAGGCAAGGGATCAGTTCAAGAGTCAGCATTCAATGTACCACACATATAAGCAACTTGGAAGAGAGGGTGAACACTTAGGTTTTCTAGAGTTCAGCAATTATTGCCACTTAACAGAGGGCCCAATCTTTCTATATGTTGGGTATCTCTAATTTTGCTGGTATTCGGAGGATTTCATAGCTTGGATTTAAGTCGTGATCCAATGTCCATTGAAATCATGGGAAATTTTCTGTTGCTTTTGATAGTTTCCTATTTGCATGTTTTATTTAAATTTGGTACCTGCATCCAGAGTTGCAGCTGGACAAACTTTAAAATAAATCAGACACATTTTTAAAAGATACAGGACAGGTCTCTTTAATACTTCGATTAGCTTTATAAAAATAACAGGATATCTGATCAGTGTATTGTTTGAGCCAAGACCTTCTTAGGTTTGCAGAAGACAATTCTGCTGTTTTCTCCCTCAAACTTTCCCGTTCTCCTGTCTGGAGTGAGAACAGCAATATGTATTGATTAAGTGCTACATTCAGCAGAAATGATCTGTGGATTACCATACCACAACGTCTCTCTTTCTGTGGAGCAATGAATCTGCCTTCTATACACATTCCTACATTCAGTAGATTCTTGTTCTGCCCACTGTTAATATTCCTGATTTGTGTGAATGATTTCTTCACCTTATCAGTAAAATAATATTCATTCATCAGGATGCTTCATTAACAATCCAAGATCTGGATTCTTTATAACCTAAAAACTGGAACAAATCTACTGTCCCGAGGACAAAAAGACTGAGCCTATTATAATTGCATCCCTGATGTCATCTCCATGAGTTCCATTGTCAGCGGGGAAGGATCCAAGTTTTGGAATCTATGTAAGAATTACATGTCAATTTCCAAGGAAAAATTCTCTTTCATGATAGCATAAATCAGTGCATCTCACAGAACCACCCATGTGCCATCCTATATGAATTGCACAGAAAACAAATAGTTCTGTATCTAGAGAGACAAAGTGGGTGAGATAATATACTGGGACCGGCACAGCTACAACAACATTACGTAGTTCTGTGTCTGTAATATACCTATTTTGAAGCCTATACTTTGGGGTTCCAGGGTTCCAAAATTAAAATTTAGCATTTACTCTAATGATCAGAAGACATTAGAACATTTCTATAGGTATGATTCTCCTGCAACTTACACTGGTATAAATTGAGAGTAACTCCATTGAAGATACAGTGATGTATAACTGATATGAGAGGAGAATCAGGCCCTGTGTATATAGCCAAGTATTACTGCAGTATGTTAGACACTCTACTGACCGCTTCATCAAGCTCTTTTTCCCTTTGTACTCAAAGTCACATTTGTCTTAACTGCTTGTGAATTTTTCATTTTCTGCCCCCACCTTTTCATTTCCCTACCATTTTTCAATATTTTTCACTTCATTCAATAATTGTTCAATTTTTCCTCTGAAGCTAGGGACAGATTCTCAGCAGGTGTAAATAGATGAAGCTCCATTGAAGACCAGGGATCTGTGCCAATTCACTTGAGCTGAGGAACTAGCCCGCAATGTTTTACACCTCACATTTTATATACCTCTTTCTTTGTCTTGATTACTTTGGGAACTTCCTTGTTCTTCCCTTTCTCCTCATAATGTATGTATTGCTACATGGTGCACATAATCCCTTGGGCGTACATTAATTTATCTTACAGCACTTTCCGTTTCTCCTCTGTGTCCTTTCTCTTCATTACCTTGTACCACTCTATGGTAGCTCTAACTCAGACTTTAAATGGTTTGTGTCTTATCCTTGACGTTATTTCAATGTAGCTTTTTGTTTCTTTAAGACGACACGTTCAAGGTATTTATAACAATTTTTGAAAACAATTTCTTGAGTTTTCTTTTTTAATTTATTTATAATCCCTACGTAATTGGAAGTTAGGATCTCTTTCCTTTATGAACATCTATATCAGCTGACTGTTTTATTCCCTGGAAATGCAAAAGATGGATCTGTGTTCCTATTTCAAACACCCCCAGAATTCAGGGATGTTTGGATCCAGGATTTTTGTTCAGACCCCTCTCTAGGTGTGGGGCTGCACTCAAGTGCTTGGCATCTGATATTCATTTACTTATTTTTAGAAAAAAGCACTTTTTCTCAGGATGAAAACATATATAAAGAATTACAGACTTTTCCAGAAGTTATTTTTAAAAACTTGGTCAGATTACTATCATTACTGACTGCTTCTCCTTACTTTAGTTTTCTTTTAATTATGTACAGATATTTAAGGAATATACCTTGAAGGGATCCTACTATCATGCCTTGATCCTAGTATGATCTCCAATCCCTGTTAAAGTCAATGAGCCTCCATGTGAGTGCAGGAGCTTCTTCCATGCCAAGCTCAGTGTAGGATGGAGGCCTCAGTAGAGATCCTTTCTGAGGTGTTGAACTCCACTCTTTCGTGCTCCACCCTCTCTCTCACTCCAAAACCAAATTTCTTGTGGTGTGAAAGACAGGTCTTCAGCGCTATTCTCAATCCTAATGTCCTCTCTCATCCAATATGTCCCTAACCATATGAACCCTGTAAAGTACTCTTCTTAAATTGTCTGCCAGGCATAAAACCCACATGGTCATGTTTTATTAGTTTTTTCTATCATTTTGTTTAGTCTCTGGCTGGTTTAGATATAAAAGCTACAACTTCAGTTTAAATAATTGTCTATATATAGGGCCAGATCCTCAGCTGCTAGTAAGCGGCGTAGCTCTATTGAAGTCAATAGAACAGTGCCCACTTCACCAGCCAAGCATGTGGCCCAGTATGTTTTGGAGCTGGAAGGAACTTTAGATTACCTTTTAGGGATGGAAGAATCCCCCAAAAGCTGGGACAGTACAAGTGAATATCTATCTATCCAGCCTCACCCAATGTCATCATACTTATTTATCATTTGTATTGCAGTAGCATATATAAATCTCAATCCCATTGTTCCAGGCACTATACAAAACAAAAAACACCAGTCCCTGCCACAAAGAGCTTACAGTCAGGTTATTACATTGCAGTGTCTACTCGCCAAATAAGATTAGTTTCGTTCATGGCTCCCTCCCCGCTGTTTCTTACATTCTGTCCTTTTGTCACACTCAAAGCCAAGAACACTGAGTTTGATTCAAAGTTGGATTTTAAGTGCTTCAGGGCAGAGGTTGTCTCTTCTCACATGGCATCATCATGACTTTCAAAAACCCACCTACCAGATAGCGGTTCACCAAAAGCTTTATGAGAATGACTCAGTACGCCACAGTATCAAAAATTCTAGTTGTGTGCGTCACTTTTCTTGAATAATTCTTTTTCTGTACTCCTGCTTCATTAACTCTCCTAACTGACAAGTTTTTCCCTGATCCAAGCATTTATTTCCACTTTGAAATGTCTTGTTAGACAAGCCTCAGATCCCACTGACTCCTCTCCATTTCTGTTTTTTCACCTATTATTAATGAAATGGTCGGAGTTTAACAATCCATTCTGGCTGCAATTTTATTGCTAATATTGCATGCATTAGGGAAGTATCAGTGGCTACACAGATGCAATTTTAGTCATATCTGCTGGCAGGATACACATAATTTGCAAAGAAAATTGCTACTTTCCCCTACTCCATTTTTGGCAATAACAGAATTCAAACACTTGGTTGATTCTTGAAGCTGTTGCGAGAAACTCGTGTTGGGTTTTTTTCCTCCTTGTTTGTGCTCTCCCTTGAGCTCTAATAAAATTTCAGAAAGAAAGTTACAAGAGCCTTCTTTTTCTTTAGGGCTGTTCATGTTTGAAACATTCTGGACAAATTGTAAATGAGATGACCTGGTGGTGTTTTTCAAGCATCCAGCCAAGTGAGGGCATTTCAAGTCTCAGTGCTTAGATTAACCACTTAAATGCCTTTGAATATAACGCATGTGGCTCATGGAACAGCACTTGGCAGGGGCGCTGGAACAATTGGTATAGTGGGAGTGCTGCGAGCCATTGAACCAAGCTGTAAACCTTGTATATAATAGAAACCACTTCAAGCTAAGGTGTGCGTCAGCAACCCCAGCACCCCTAGTTCCAAGACCAATGGAACCTGGCCCCGTGGAGCTATGACCTCTCACATGGGCAACCATAGCATGTGGGCTGGGAACTAATTAGAAACTAAGAGAGCTGGGCCTAGTTTTTGCTTACATGGAAAACCTCCAAGGAAAACTTAGCAGCACGGCACTAGTGATTCAGTTGGGGTCTCTCTAACTTCTGCAGTATTACCAAGGGAGAGATGGAAAATTCTAACGTAAATTGCTTTTTGCGTATTTTTTTACAGTTAGACCTAATCATAGAAAGGGACCTCTAGCAATCATCTAGTCCATGACTCATGGCAGGACTAAGTTTATCTAGACCATCTCTGACAGGTGTTTGTCTAACCTGCTCTTAAAAATCGTCAGTGATGGAGATTCCACAACCTTCCTAGGTAATTTATTCCAGTGCTTAACCACCCTGACAGGAAGTTTTTCCTCATGTCCAACCTAAATCACCGTTGCTGCAATTTACGCTCATTGCTTCTTGTCCTATCCTCAGAGGTCAATGACAACAATTTTTCTCCCATCTCCTTGTAACAACCTTTTAAGTACTTGAAAATTGTTATAATGTCCCCTCTGTCTTCTCTTCTCCAGACCAAACTAACCCCATTTTTTCAATCTTCCCTCATAGGCTAAGTTCCCTGTAAGCTGTGCAGCTGCCTTCTTAGCACCACGCAGGCGCTCAGAGAACTTGCCTGGGGACCTGCTGCGGGGGGGAACTACAACCCTTTTTTGTCAGCCATGTCCCCAAGAATGGGGGCTGTGAGAAGGGTGCCAGTCAACTCTATCTCAGAGAATGCCTCTATGCAAGAGAAATCCCTAACTGCGCATGCACGCTGGTGTTAACACTGCTTTGTGCCTCCTGAATGGTATAAAGCAGAACTAGCCAGGCTGATGACTTGGTATATCTTAAACAGAGGTTTCAGTACCAACTATACAACTGGCAATATGCACAACTATGTTCATTCTGATGGGTAAAACAAACAAACGAGCTTGTCTGGTTTCTGTGTAAAGTTGCAGGTGCGGGTTTATTAACTGACCCTGCACTGGATATAAACAAATATTTCCCTAACTCCTTGTAGGTCATTTTTGAATGCTTCAGACCAAAGACTAAACTTTTTAAAGAGAAATAGTTGCATTAGTTTGCGGACGATACCAAGCTGGGAGGGGTTGCAAGTGCTTTGGAGGACAGGATTAAAATTCAAAATGATCTGGACAAACTGAAGAAATGTTTTGAAGTAAATATGATAAAATTAAATAAGGGCAAAGGCAAAGTACTCCACTTAAGAAGGATCAATTGCACACAGCCAAAATGGTAAATGACTGCCTAGGAAGGAGTACAGCAGAAAGGGATCTGGGGGTCATAAAGCAAACATCATTCTGGGATGTATTAGTAGGAGTGTTGTAAGCAAGATACGAGAAGTAATTCTTCTGCTCTCCTCCACGCTGATTAGTCCTCAACTGGAGTGTTGTATCCAGTTCTGGGTGCCACATTTCAGGAAGGATGTGGACAAATTGGAGAAAATCCAGAGAAGAGCAACAAAAATGATTAAAGGTCTAGAAAACGTGACCTATGAGCAGTGTTCCCTCTAATTTTTTCACCTCATGTGCGGAATGAATTTTGTTATGTGCACCAATATGCAGGTGATGTGTGCCCCCACACCTGCATATTGATGCACATAACAAAATTCATGTGGTGGGGGTGGGACCGAGGGGTTCGGCGCGTGGGAAGGGGCTCAGGGCTGGGGCAGAGGGTTGGGTGTAGGGGGTGAGGGCTCCAGCTGGGGGTGCGGGCTCTGAGGTGGGGCTGGGGATGAGGGGTTTGGGGTGCAGGAAGGTGCTCTGGGGCTATGGTGGGGAGAGTGGACTCCCCCCAGCTCTCTCTCCCCACAGCAGCACCTGGGCTGGGGGGTTTGTGGGGGGAGAGGCATCTCTCCATGCCGTGGCAGCTCCGGGGCTGGGACCGCATGATAGGCACCCTTTCCCCCAGCAGGTCTGGGCCAGGGCTGGGTTTGGGGTTGGCTGGCCTGCCTGTGCCGCGACTGGGTTCGGGCCTGTCTGGGCCTCCCCACCCCGGCTGCAGCTGGGTTCAGATGGGGTAGGGGCATCCCAGCCGGTCAGGCACGGCAGAGTTGGGGGCCAGGCTAGGTTGGGGCTGGGGGAGGGATGTGCAAAGAAGGCTTACACCTACCTTTCTATTGCTCCCCATCAAGCTTTAGCAGGCACCAAATTATTGGGCCTGGGGATCTGGCTTGATCTGTCCTCTGCAACGTATAAACTGCTGAACCCAGGAAATTCTTATGAGATTTTCACTGCAACAGTGAGTCATTAAGACACAGGCTTGTTTTGATATTTATTTGTATGCTTCAGTGTTGAATATTCTTGTCTGTTCTCCCATGTAAGGAACTATCACTGCTGGAACGAGGCATGGATGACCAGACCTGATCTTCCCGTTGGTTTTGGAGGATGGCAAGTCGTAGATAGTACTCCTCAAGAAAACAGTGATGGTAATCCTGCATGCAGTCTTTGTATTTTAGTCCTTAGACTGAAGTCGGCGGCTGTGGAGAAGATTTGGAGATGTATTCCACATTCTCCCGCAATAGATATAAAAGCACCAATTATCTCAGCAGGCATAGAATTTGGCCAAAGGAAAACAAGACACGCTGTGCCATAATTCAGCCATTCTTGTTGGGTTAGGCAGTATACCAAAAGGTTTTGATGCAACCCATGTATAACCTTGACTTCTGTTAAGGGGGGACAGCATACTGTTTCCCATTGAAAGCATGTTCAAAGCAGAATTTCTGTGCATACTGCTAGGAATAATAGGAATTTTATAATGGAAATTACTTTGAAAAAATCACAGGTGAGACATGGAAAATGTTGATGAAACCACAAACTTTATTTAATCAGATTTCTAAAGTGCCCTCACCATAGTATTTAGGTGTTGGTCCTACATTTTGATACTGATTGTTATAGGCTGAGACATATTTACACCCCCCTTCAGTAAAGGAATGGCCCTCGCACTTCAGCCTCAGGAAGTGGCATAAGCAGAGCTGAGTGACGGCTTCAAAGGTGGGGAGAGACTGCGGTATTTTCCACAGCACGGCCACCCAAAAGTCAAAGGGCTCAAGGAGAAAAATGGAGAAGTCATGGGACTCCTGATTTCCATGAGCCCTGTGACCAGCTTGCAAGCCAACTTATAGCACAGTGGAGTGAGGGAAGGGAAAGGTGCCTGATCCAAAGAACATTGAAGCCAGTGAAAGGACTCCAATTGCCTTCACTGGAGTTTGGACCCAGCCCCAGGAACGTTAAATGTATTTGTGATAACAGAGCTGCCCTGTGGAAGAGTGAGAGGGGATGTAACAGTTTCAAACCAAGTATTTTGGGTGTATATAATATATGCCATAGTGCTAATTTCCCTCTGTAAACTCCTGTGGTTGCATTCTGTAGATGGTAGAGAAAAATGAAAATCCACTATTGCTGTTACATTTCCTAATTTCCTCCTCACTCAGTTCAAACATAGATCCTTAAGACAGCGGCAGTCAGATGTTTCCTAGGTTCACACTGACAGACTGAGCTTCTCCAGGCTTGTCAGCTTTAACTCAAATCAACTCATACTGAATGACATTTCCAGCAGTTGAGGCTTATGCTAAACAGTGAAGCAAAAAGTGTGTCATTAAGGTGCCAACTGTTAGAGAGCTTCAGATTTGGGACTGGATGGTTCACTGAGTTGGTAATAGAACATGGAGCCTTTCCCATCTAGGTCAGTTGTGGCTATACGTTATTACCAACAGATAGCTGTTCTGTGGCCTAGAGCATGTGAAATGAGTTGATGCTATCAGTCCAGTTCCTAGCAAACAGGTCTCCGTGTCATAAAACTGGCATTAATTGACAGTTGCTGACAATCCCAGCAGAGAAGAAAGGACTGAATGACCTCTGAAGTAGTACCTATGGCTGAGGATTGAGGCATGCTCGTGGGGCAATATGGAAAACGTGGAGCAACATGTCGGTGCTTTATCTGGGGCTAACCAGCGGAAAAAGGGCCTGATTCAGCACTTAGTTACTCCAGTTTTGCACAGATGTAACTCCACTGAAATCATGGTGAATAGGGACCAAGTTCTGTCAGTTCATCACTTTTCAGAAACCCCCAAATCACTTTAAAAAGGTAGATGAAAACATCACCGTTTTCAAGTAAGCATCAGGGCCATGATCTTACCTTAGCTGAATTTAGCACACGTGTGTGTGCATGCCTGTGCACCTGTGGGCAAGCTGAGGTTAGACCATCAAAAAACTAGAGTGGGGAAATATTGCGGGGGAGGGGAGAAGTGTTGTAAAAGCTTTTTTCCCCTTCTTTAAATAGCCTCAGACACTGAAGGCCTGATTCTGATACTCTTATCACACTGAGTAGTACTTCACTCTGCAAGTAGTCTCACTGCCAGCAGAGTTTGTAAGGGTAGCAGAATGAGGCCCTGAAAGTGGAAGGGAAGCAAAGTTGCCATTTTCATTAAAGAACCGCTTTGTCGCTGCATCACACACTTAGCACAGGAGTCAAAAGGCACCTGCATGTACCAAGTATAATATGCTGTCTCTGCAGTACAGATACCAGTGGAATATTATGCCTGCAGCAGAGGAGCTAGGTTCTACTTAGTGTCATAAACCCGACTATCTTTTTATTTCATGTATATTGGAATTGGAAAAGGTTCAGAAAACGGCAACAAAAATGATTAGGCATATGGAACGGCTGCTGTATGAGGCGAGATTAGTAAGACTGGGACTTTTCAGCTTGGAAAAGAGACGACTAAGGGGGGATATGATTGAGGTCTATAAAATCATGACTGGTGTGGAGAAAGTAAATAAGGAAGTGTTATTTACTCGTCATAACACAAGAACTAGGGGTCACCAAATGAAATTAAGAGGCAGCAGGTTTAAAACAAACAAAAGGAAGTATTTTTTTCACACACCGCACAGTCAGCCTGTGGAACTCCTTCGCAGAGGATGTTGTGAAGGCCAAGACTATAACAGGGTTCAAAAAAGAACTAGATAAGTTAATGGAGGATAGGCCCATCAATGGCTATAAGCCAGGATGGACAGAGATTGTGTCCCTAGCCTCTGTTTGCCAGAAGCTGGGAATGGGCGACAGGGGATGGATCACTTGGTGATTACCTGTTCTGTTCATTCCCTTTGGGGCACCTGGCATTGGCCACTATCGGAAGACAGGATACCATTGGTCTGACCCAGTGTGGCCGATCTTATGTTCTTATTTTAAGCTAATGGTTTTGGCTACTTGTTTTTTCCCAATCTAGCACATTCTAGGTATTAACTTTAGTTAAAGTTAAAGAGAACAAATTCAACCTTTTATTTCTCTTCCCCCTCTACTCTCAATTCAGGTATGTATAGATGTGGCCCTGCGTCCGTTCAAGCTATTAAACATGGTCATGTCTGCTTCCAGTTCGATGCTCCTTTTGTTTTTGCAGAGGTATGTACCTGAAAAAATAGTGTTTTGAGTGATTTAAATGGGACAGTAAGTCAGTCTCTAGGTATAATACATGGACTGCAGTGTTATTTCCCATACAACCCATGTAAAATAGAAATCCTAGAATTATATTTAGATCAGTAGGTTTGATATGACACTTGTGAATGATAAAATTCACCAATCACTGCTTGCCAAAGGAGTAATCAGAAGAAGTTGCTCCAGTTGAAATTAAACCACAGTTACCAGAGCAGCAGAGAAAGTTAGTCGCTGCTTTCCATAACACAATCTGCATTAGCTCCTGCCTCTCATTAAGGACTGTAACAGCAGGCAGGCTCTGAAGCTCTGGGTGGTGTTGTAAACTCTTTGGACCAGGGCATGTACCTTTCTGTATGTGTTGACAACACCTAACACATTGTGGGGCTCTACTAGAATGCAAAATAATTGTGCTCCTGCTGGGACGGTGGGGCCCCTCAACTCAGGACAGTACCTTTACAGGCATCATGGGGACTAGACTGGCTGCCAGTATTTCTCCATCTTCAGAAATGTGTTATTAAATAGCTACTGATTATTCAAAAGGACACAGTGGGCCAGATCCACGGCAGGTGACAATTGGCTCCAATGACTATACATGGAGCTATGCTGATTTACACTAGCTGAAGTTCTGGCCCTGCAACTGTATTAGGAAATCCACATGTCAAGTGTATCTGACAGCTAGTTTAAAATATTACCAAATTATCATTAACATAAGCCCTTTTTGGAAGTGTTTTGGGCCCCAGTTCAGCAAGGTGTTTAAACATGTGCTTAATTTTAAACATGTATCTCGTCCTGTTGAAATCAGTAGGACTTGATGATTGTGTCATTGAGTCAAGGGGAAGACATACTGGCTTTAAACCCAACAGAAGATGTAATGCTTTGTTGTTTAATTTTATAGGTAAATAGTGATGTTGTTTACTCAAAAGCAATGAAAGATGGGACCAGAGTGATTGAACACATTGATAAGACCCACATTGGGAAATTAATCTTGACCAAGGAAATTGGGAGTGATAGAACCAAGGACATTACTGAGCAGTACAAGTTCCAGGAAGGTAACTTACTGCATATGGCAAAACAAAGTGTATATACTGACGTAGATTTTTCTTAAATAGGTCTCATGTCATTGATATGTAAACCTCTAGCAAGGTGGGTTCTCACACAGCTTTCTCCAAGTGGTGTGGAAAACTTTGTGCATCTTAATTCCACCTCAGACACATTACAAATCCTTCTGTAAGAACATCTCCTTAGGCTGTCACTCCAAAACATCTTGGACAGGAGTTGATAGATCTGGAAACAGAGGGTAACCATGGATGAATTTACTTAATTCAAAAGGAATTTATGCTTTTAATACAATAGGTGAGACTTTGTGGCAAAGATCGCTCATATTCTGTACTCAAATGCTTTAAACATGGAGGCCGGACATTCAGTTGGTGTAAACTGGCCTGGCTCTATTAATGTCGATGGAGCTGTCCTGATTAATGCCACCTAGATCTGTCCTGCGTCATTAAGGCCAATCCATTCAGAGAGTGTGAGGATCTCCTTATGCTTCACCCTACCCCATGAAGTTTCACCATTCTGAGGTATGCACTTCAGTAAAGACATTTCATATCATGTCTGTCCCACTTTGCTATAATAATTCCATACATTTGCCCCAGATGTAAATGTGTGGTGTTGCCAAAGACAACATGGGGCCCTTAGTTACACTGAATACAGACAATCCTCCCAGCTGGGGACTAACATTATCTGAAGCACATTTATGTGTGTACTGAAGGACCAGAGTCAAAACAGTTAGTAAAAAAATATTTATTCCATGAAGAATTATAGTCATATTTTCCCAAAATGCAGTTAACATTCTTACGTAGGCTAAAAAGTTTGCTGGGCCTTCTGTCCTGCGTACTGTTAGCAAGAGGTTAGGTCTAAACAGGACTCTGTCATTGTAATGTTTTGTGGAATGCCTTTTTGTGGGAGAGGAGAAAGGCATGTTGCATACGTGCTGTTCAGCTCTGCCATGTTCCTGTTAATTTCTGACATGACACAAACTACATGAATGTAATGTAAATGAGATAGTAAACTCTTCAGGGCAGGGATTGTCTTCCTGTGTGTTTATTCAGTGGTGAGCACAATGGGGTCCTGATCCTGATTGGAACCTTTGGGCACTATTACAAGACAACTAATTATTAAAGTCCCTTTTAACAGAGAACTGGCAAACATACACAGTCATGCTTCATTAATTATTGTGCAGATGAGACCCAGCTGAACTCATATGCAATCCAAGTGCCAGTCCCTCAATCTGATTCCACTGTCCACAGTTAAAAAAATTAAAAAATAAAAATACACACCATTAATATGGACAGTGTGTGTGTTTGGAAGAGGACATTTACAAGTGGTTTTTCATCATCCACATCAGAAGTGTAACAGGGTAGTGTGACCCTTAAGAGTAGTGGTGACTAGGGGTTAGCCCATCCTAGGTCACATGACATGGCCCTTTAAAATTTTGGGAGGTTTTGAAGTATGCAAAGCCCTAGGAAATAAAAAGTATTGGTGGAGAGGAAGTGATCCCAGAAATAAGTAGCACGTGGGAGAAAATCAGTTACTGTTTCTTTAAGGGCCAGCAAACAAGAATTTTGCAGAGTGGGTGAGGCAAGGCTCTTCTCTTACCCGACCAATTGGGGTGAGCTGAGACAAGGGGACTAGCTAATTTTTCATCATCCACTACAGAAGGTCTGACATCTTGGGTGACGGTAATTCCTTACGGGCTTCCTCCATGTCAAATACAGTGCCTTGGTAAGTGCTTATTTTTTTAACAGAAAAGGGATGAGTGTCACACAGCCCTACCACCCTGAGACTGTTTCCAGTGCTAAAAATTAAGTCCACAGGGTTGTGACACGTGTCTAGAATCAGATATACTCAAAAGTAGGTAGTGTTCTTCCATCTTCTCTACTAATTTATTTTAGCAACACTCTTCCATTCATTTGTGATATTAGAGAAGGAGCAGAGAAGGAGCAGAATAACATTTTAATCCAACATAAGATGTTTTACCCAGGACTGCATGGTTTGGAGTACAGAGATTTTGCTTTCTAAGTCCCACTGGTTAATTGAGTTTAGGTTGATAATGAACCACAGTAATTATTATCTGACTATTGCTTCAAGTATTCACTACTTATACTTCACTAGTCACACAGTGTGACTGATCACCGACGTCATATGGTAGCATTTCTGCTTCATGACTGGATGATTCCCAAATCCACAAGCTATCAGCATGGCTCAATGAACGCTTCAGCACAAATATTCAGGCAACTGCAGATGTGCATGAGTATTTGGAGCATCCTGTCTTTCTGTGAACAAAACATTCACAGAAAACAAATAAGGCAAAATATCATTGAGTTGAATTTGCTAATTTTTATTTTTAAAAATTGCAAGTGATTTTTTGTTTTTTATTTGCAATAAATCTCTGACTGGTACCATAGTTGAAAGTCTCAGCAAAGGGGGCCAAGAACTGAATGGACATGGAGACTGAACTACCCTCTTACTCATAAATGTGGTCTCTTTAGTACATTAGCTGGTCAGTTTGGTGGGGAAGCATACATTACCCCTGCCACTGCTCAAATTGTCCTCTACCTAGCTGCAGATCTCCAGAAACCTAAGGGCCAGATCCTGAGATCATTAAGGTTAAGGGGAGTCTTTTCATTGACTAATGAGCTTTAGATCTGGCCCATGATCTGGTAGTTTTTGTAAGCACTGAAGTAATGGCACCATTATGAACCTGGTAATTAGGTCCCCTTGTTTCAGGTTTTTTTAACATAATTTCCATCTTGTCCTAGGCACAGAAGAAGAGAGACTGGCCCTTGAGACAGCTCTGATGTATGGCGTTAAAAAGCAGGCTACCCAGGATACTATGGAGCCGGCAGGGACCGAAGTCGACATGGACTTTCAAGTGGAAAATGCAACACTTGGCAGTGACTTCAAAGTCACTGTAACTTTCAGAAACAACAGTCGCAACCATTACACTGCAACAGTCTATCTGTCTGGCAATATTGTGTTTTATACGGGTGTCACGAAGAATGAATTCAAGAATCATACTTTTGATGTGACACTGGAACCCTTGGCATGTAAGATGGGGAAAACTTTAAGTCTCGGCCTTTGGTTTGCTTTCTTATCTATGTGTGCTGACACCAGTGAAATCCCCTCCAGCGATAGGCCCAAATTACATACCTTGGATAGGGCCCTGGAATGGGAGTCAGGAAACCTGGGTTCTATTCCTCACTCTATGTATTTGCCTGTGACCTTACCCAATATGTGAAATGGGGATGATAATGCTTATCCACGTTCAAAAAGTACTTTGAGTTCTACAGATTGAAAGTGCTGAATTATGAAATAAGTGATAAGGATTGTTATTATTTAATGAGAGAGAGAGAATGGGCCCAGGTGTTAAGCTGTAAGATGTCATTTTCACATCTTTGACCATCTTGTAATTTCTCTGAAAGGAAAGGGACAACTCTGGTTCTCCAGGTGGAGGTTACAATGACAAAATAAAAGCAAAATCTTTCCCTTATCTGAGAGAGCCCTACAAAAGAAAGGAGTAGAGTGGCACTGGGTGCACATCTGGCACAAGAGCCATCGTGCAGTTAGAGCAGGTGTAGACAACCTATGGGACGTGTGCCAAAGGTGGCATGCAAGATTTTCGGTGGCACTCACATTGCCTGGGTCCTGGCCACCGGTCTGGGGGGCTCTGCATTTTAATTTAATTTTAAATGAAGCTTCTTAAACATTTTAAAAACCTTACTTACTTTATATACAACAATAGTTTAGTTATATATTATAGACTTATAGAAAGAGACCTAAAAACATTAAAATGTATTACTGGCATGCAAAACCTTCAATTAGAGTGAATAAATGAAGACTCAGCACACCACTTCTGAAAGGTTGCCGACCCCTGAGTTAGAGCATAGGATGGTTCAGGACAGGCTATGGGAATACAGTGTTAGTGCATATTTATGGCAATCTAAAAAGGAACAGCATACATCCCTGGCCAGTGTGTGCTGCTGACCACAGCATATGCGCTAGCCAGCTGACGGCACACTCCCTATCTGAGATACCATGCACCCTGTGGGGCATGCTGTGCTGGTGGTACCCCCTTTCTAGCACTCTCTGGACTGTTAGGGAGAGATCCTGCCCTGTTGTTTGCCTGGGATAAAAAGTTCCCTCTCATCCATTCTGCACGTCTTAGGGCAGGATTTTCCCCTACAACTGTAAATTTCTATTTGGAGCTTGTAAATCTCTATAAAATAATCGTCCACTTAATGGAAAAGTAGAGATGGACCCTAATCAAAACTTTCGCTCCAGTCTCATATGATGAGCCAATAGCTATTTGTTGGTTGTTTCTAACTCATCTGATTCGTTTGTGGGTACTTAGTAACTGTTAATGTACTTTCTCTCTGCTGCATTGAGTTGTTCCAACCGATTTTAATATAACAAGCAATTTTTAAGTGCTTTGAATCAATTATTAAATGTCGCCTGTAAAGTTGTCAAACTTTTTAAAAAATACGTGGCTAGCCATTAAAGTAAATCAATTTCAGCTCTCGACTAAACTCTCATTTGCAATCCCATTGCATCCCTATAACTCTGAGAAGCATTTAACCATAATTTAGATGTTCAGTATAGATGTGCAAATATCTCAGCACTCCCTCTGTTTTCCAAGCTAAATTCCACAGGTCAGATTCAGCCCTGTGCTTAGGTTCCATGTAAGTCACTGTGATTCCACTTAACAAAGAGTTTAAATGATGCAGGGGCGCTTGGTTGAATCCTCTGCACTAAGGTGAATTTACTAGGATACGTTTATAGCCACAGTGCTCATTTTTGCTAAGCTGTGGCATGGTACATAAAACTGCTATGGAATGTTTTAATAAATTCCAAACTCTAGTGACTGATGATGATGAGTGAATATAGACTGGGCCTCCATCTAGAATAAGCTAGCATACCGGGGTAAATTGCTAGGGTTGCCAACAGTCCCTTATTATAAGGGACATACCTTATTTTTTCATCTCTGTATGACAAGATTGGGAGTTGCTGAGTGTTGCAAAAAGCAGCAAGAAATAGCCCTGGCAAATGTAGGTGAGTACTGCTGCTTATTATTATTAATAATAATTAATAATGTCAGGAGGACAGGTGGGGCGAGGGTGCTAAGAAAACAGTCCCTTATTTTTTAAATACAATGTTGGCAACCCTCAGAATGGCCTTAACATATTTTGAGGAATGTGAGTAGAATTTGTAGGTTTAGTGACATAGCAAGAAGTAAGTGTGTGTGTGTGTGTGTGTGTGTGTGTGTGTGTGTGTGTGTGTGTG